AAGAAGAAGAAGAAGAAGAAGAAGAAGAAGAAGAAGAAGAAGAAGAAATACTAAAAGCATACTGACTGGGAAAAAAATAAAACTATACTTTTTTGAAAGTAAATGACAACCTACTTGGAAAATTTAAAAAAAGGAACAAATGTTCCTGGGACTATTAAAACGTATAACAAGGCTTTAGAATGCAAATACACCAAAAGCTAAGAAAGTCTGAGCAATATCTACATTTTTTTAAAAAGCCCACAAAACTATGATTAAAGAAATCAAATAACCATGATTTTTCAGTTTCAGGGAAATTCAATCTTGTCACGGTTTCAATCTATTTCTCACTTGATCTGCAGATTCAATGTAATACCAATACAAATACCAGCCAGTTATTTTATGGGTATCAATAAACTGACTCCAAACACAAGCTGCAGGGCTGCCAGGTTCAGTACAGTAATTGGCAAAAGAACAAATCAAGGAGAACTGAGTTCCAAAATACAGTCACATGTGACAAAAGAACCACAGCAACATAAGGGAACAAAATTAGTCTTTCTAATAAATGATATTAGAACTGGACGTGTAAAACACATGAATCCTGGAACATACTTTAAAAAAATTCAACATGAATCATAGATATAAATATAAAGCAGAAAGGGCTCAGGAGATGGCTAAATGGGCCAAGTATTACACAAGCAGGAAAACCTGAATCTGGATCTCCAACATCAACTTGATAAACAGACACAGCCATGCACACCTGAAGCCCCAGCACTGTCCTGAGGGGCGGAGTCAGGGAAGAGACAGACAGACCCCAGGAGCTTGCCAGCCAGTCAGGGTCAGTGAGAGAGGCCTCATCTCAGAAAAGAAGGTAGGAAAGCATTTGAAAGAGGCATTCTGACGTCAGCCTCTAGGGTACACACACAAAATTTCTAGCAAAGACTACAGGAGAAAATCTAGATGATCGCGTACGGTAAGGACATTAAATGCAGCACTAAAAAGCTAATCCACGGAAACAAATCCATTCACTAGAGTAGACTTCAGTAGAACCGGAAACGATGCTCAGGCATTCTTCCTCTGCTCCCTAGCTCACCACCAGATGACCTGCTCTGCTCTGCTCTGCCACACCTCCTTCCTTAACAGCACCACCGCTGAAACCGTGAGCCAAAATAGCCCTTCCTTTAAGGCGGCTCTCGCAGATACTGATTACAGGGACACCAAGAGAAACTTCCTGTGAGCTAGGGACTCAGAGTGACACTGATATGTCAATACGGCTCCTGAGCTGCAGCAAATCTACAGTGTGCTGGGTGCTGACACTAGAGGAGACGGGCATGTGAGGTGGGGAATGTGGAGCAATTGTACTTTTCCTCACTTTTGCTCTCAGCCTCAAATTTCTTCTCCTAAGACTTGTTTAAAGTCTGTTTATTCACCCTCTAAATCGGAAGCCAGATGGTCGAATAGATTAGGAGGAAGAAGGAAGTGCAGGCAATGATGTCATGTTCTCACTGCTAACAGCGACATAGGAACAACCAGCTCTTACTTGATCTCCTTCACAGGTACTTTTTTCTGGAGAAGCTGCTGCACCATCCCTTGTTCTTCCGAGGGTAGTAAAATTAGTAAAGCTTCTCCATCTTCTTTGTATCTAAACAAAATAAAAATTTTCAAATGCATCAATACAATCTTCATTTTACATTTTGACAAGATGAGTAGGTGACATGAAATCACTTAATTAGTAAATGATAGAAAAACCGCTTTTAATCTTCCATGATGTCAGAAAAGTAGGACTCTAGCTGCCTTGCATCAAATTTCAATCACTTGCTGTAATTCCCACTGCCTTTAAGGCTGTACTTCAAAAGTAGAGCTAGCATCTAAAAAAGAAGCAATTAAACAGAATTCCTCTTTTGAGATGGGGGTCTCAATCTTGTAAGCCAAGGTGGCATTTCTTTTGTATGTAGCCTCAGGCAACAACAGGCCCAATCCCAAAGGGATAGTTTAAAATAAGTTCATACAAATATATCAAGAAGACTGCTTCCACCCAAACCACAAGAGTATTATGACAAATTACTTATTAATTTGGCAACCAAAATACAATGAAGAAATTAGTTTTGGGGAACACTGACACATATGCCTGTAATTCTGAATACAGGATGTTAAGGCAGAAGAGCCGCTGCAGGGTCAAGGCAGGGTTGAGATAACAGCAAACTCTGTCTCAGAACCAAAACACAGAAATCAGTTCATCTGCCTATGGATTTTACTGATACCTTTAAAATGAAACTTTTCAGGTCGATTTAAGAAATAGGCCTACTCGGGTAAACACCTTATAACTCCTCTTCCCTCACATAAGCCAAGCCTTACTTATACCTTCAGAATCCGTACTGACACAGGCTAAGGCTTCCTGAAATGCTGACGTTTCCCGTGCTGCTTGAACAGTAAACTAACGCCACAGTGCCCACCGGGACACGAGCAACGAGAGAGAATCGAATGGGATATTTAGGAAAACGTTTTACAGAAGAAAACATATTCTCAAAGCAGTCTATACTCATGGTATTAAATCTGAGGGGCACACACTTATAACTAACCAAGTAACTACTTACTGAGAAGCCATGACTCAGGAATAAACCAAGCACACAGAGGCAGGGCCCTGTCTTCAAGCACTCTAATACTCATCCTAAACAGAAATGACAAACTCCTAGGCAGAAGCAACAAACACGTACAAGCACAAGACTCCAGACAATGATAAAAGAAGGACAAAGGACAGTCACAGGCAACAAACACCACCAACTCAGAAGTGGAGAACAACTATTCACAAGTGCCCGAGGAAAGACATGACACAGTAGATGGACTTCAGTCAGGTCTTTAAGGCAGACACAAAGGGGCCCACGGTGTTGGAAGAGAATGCTGGGTCATGGCGGAGAAATCAGACAATAATGCAAGACTGATTTAGTAAAGAGAGGCCTAAAAAAAGGGAAAGTTCACAGCTGGAATGAAAAACTGAACAGCAGGGAAGAGGAGTTAAAAGGCACACTCAAGACTGATTTTGTACTGCCCTGTATACCTCTGCAAGAAATTCTACAATACTGTCTGCAAATAATATTTTATCATTAATGTTGAAAGAAAAATTGGTTTCTGCAACTTAACTAAGAGATGGTACTGTACTTTTATTATGAAATCTAAAGGAAAGTTTTTTACCTTACATATTAATTTTAAAATCCAACTCTAATGAAGAAAAAACATATCCTTGTATGAACAGACTGAAAAAGATTAAAATATATCAAAATGTTAAGCTATCTTTTATAGACAATTTGTTTTTGTTTTAATCTTATTAATATGTCTGGAAGAGGAGAGGGTACCTGAACTGGCCTTGTCCCATAGCCACACTGATGAATATCTTGCATATCACCATAGAACCTTCATCTGGCAATGGATGGAGATAGAGACAGAGACCCACATTGGAGCACTGGACTGAGCTCCCAAGGTCCAAATGAGGAGCAGAAGGAAGGAGAACATGAGCAAGGAAGTCAGGACCACGAGGGGTGCATCCACCCATGGAGACAGTTGGACTGATCGAATGGGAGCTCACCAAGGTCAGCTGGACTGGGACTGATGGAGCATGTGATCAAACCAGACTCTCTGAATGTGGCTGACAACGAGGGCTGACTGAGAAGTCAAGGACAATGGCACTGGGTTTTGATTCTACTGCATGGACTGGCCTTGTGGGAGCCTAGTCTGTTTGGACGCTCACCTTCCTAGACCTGGATGGAGGGAGGAGGACCCTGGACTTCCCATGGGGCAGGAAACCCTGACTGCTCTTAGGACTAAAGAGGGAGGGGGAGGAGGAGTAGGGGAAGGGAAATGGGAGGTGGGGAGGAGGTGGAAATTTTTAATAAATAAATAAATAAATTTTAAAAAAAGAAAATAGACATCATGCTGGCTATTTAAAAAATTGAAAATCTATAAGAACCGATATTTTAAAAAATAAATAAATAAATTCCAGCACTCAGGAGGCAGAGACAGGTGGATCTCTGCGAGTTCAAGGCCAACCTGGTCTACAAAGTAAGTTCTAGAACAGTCAAGGCTAAATAGAAAAACCCTGTCTGGAAAAAAAAAAGTAATACAGGATTTGATTAGTAACACAGAGGATGCTGTAAGAGTATGACAGAGAATATTACCTAATAGTCCAGATATTAAGAAAAAGTCCAGAAATAATGAAGCCTTAAATGAACCTTGAAGAATCAGAAGCCAGTCTAACATTAATTGTAGAGACACGGGAAGGATAGTCAAGTTTTGCAAGGGAAACGGTAGTATTTCAGAGATCAATGAAAACTTGAATATTTTGTCTTCATGCTTATTTAATTTTCTTATAAACAGAAATATGAATATATAAGCACTCCTTTATCTAATTATCTGTTGGAACTGAAAAGCTAGCTGTAAATACCTTTCTCATTATTTAAATGCAAAATTGTATGATTCATACTACAAAAAAAGTATGAATTCAAAACTTTCCCCTTTAGCCACTAGACTAAACCATACATGATGGCAGAAGTTATTAGCATATAAAATAAAGACACATCCTGACCAAGTAAGATAGATGACAGACATTGCAACTGCTGTGTCTGCTCTCTGAGGACAGACTAAAAGTCAGAGGGCAAGCAGACAGTGGTGGTACACACTTGGGAGGCAAAGCAGGCAGATCTCTGAGTTCTAGGACAGTCAGGGCAACACGAAGAAACCCTGCCTCAAACCCAAAAGAGAAGCCAGAAGACAAGCTGAGAAGGTGGCACCATGAGTGAACTCAGAAAAAGCACCACAAGCTTGAGTAAGACCTGAGTTCAGACACCCAACATCCAGGTAAACAGCTAGGTATAATCATGCATGCCTAGAACTCAGTGCTGGAAAGAACGGGAAAACAGGAGAACCTCTTGGGCTTGCTGGCCACCAATTTAGAAAAAGCCTTTATAATACAATCTAGTAATGAGGAAAGTAAACAAGAAAAAGAAAGCCAACTAGTTGCTCTAACATATCTAATGTGATAAATGATACAGAAAAGGAGAAGGAGGCAAAGGAATGGCTTGAGGAGGACAACAGAAAGCCACACAGGGAACTGGGACAGCAGTATATTAGAAACAACTAATATAAAAAGCCCTAAGGCAATAGCATGTCTAACATTTATAAGCAGCAGCAAGACCTGAAACAAAAAGAAAAACGATAGACAGACAGACAGATAGATAAGGAAAGTGTGTGGGGCTGTCACTGACTTGACTGGGAAGCCCTCATAGGAGTCAGAGAATTTGACTTATGTTTTAAAAGACCACTTGGTCTGCTGAATTGAGCAGACCATAGGAGAACAAGAGCAGAGGAAGTACCTGAGAACTGGCTGACTCCTAAGAAATATCAGACCCTTACTTGCCTCTGTGCCTCTACCAGCTGTATTTCATCTCAGCTCTTCAATGCTTCAAAACAAAAGATTTATTCTGCCCTTTATTAAAGTCCAGTTATCAACAGACATAAGCAGAAAGCTGTATAAGGAAGAAATTTCCTCCTGGGAGAAACAGACTCAGTAGAAATTTAAAATTCCCAGCTAAGTGAATTTTTAGGAACAGAAAATTTCATTTGAAAAAAATGTTCTTACCACATACCTAGTAAATTCACATTAGGCTTAATTCTTAGGGAAATTGTCTTTATTATTTCAGTTTGCAAAAAGCTAAGGATTCTTTTTAAAAAATTCTCATTGATTCCTTAAAATAAGAGCATTTTTTGCAAACCATGAGTCCTTCCTAATTTAGGAATTTTAACTAGTTTACAACTTCATGCTTGCTGTTAGAGGTATCCCAAAGACTAGGAAATGCAAATGCTTGGCTCTGCTGCCCCCTAGTGGAGTCACAGTTCACTATCTAAAGTAACTCAAAATTTTGAGAACTACAAAAAAGGTAAAAATGGCTGAATTGGAATATAGCTAAAACAAATTTTTCCTCAGCAGTCTAAAACAGAAAAAGTTACATATAAACTCCCACATTCTCTTCTAGTCTCCCTCCTATCCACAAACAAAAGGCTTATCTGGTGTGTGTCTACTTTCTAATAACCAACCTTCTGTGCTTTCAACTGCAAATTTTTTACTTAAAATAAGTCAGGCTTTTGAGAACCAAAACCTCAAGTCTTAAAGACAATTGCTTTGAAGTGGCAAAATGTACTACAGGACAAACCCTAACAAACTATCTTCACTCACTTGTCTCAAAGAGGACATCATTTTGTTAAGTGGACTAAAGTTTTTCTTTGCCATAAATCCAAAGAATCCAGTAAAACAGTGTTTGGAGGCAATAACACCCGGATCACCCTTTATTTCTCCTTGGTAAGGCACAAAAAGTAAAGACGCCATATTCTCCAAGTTTAGCAGTTTTTCTGACAAAATCACTTTTCATATTTATATATTAATGTTCAATTCCAAAAGCAAACACTTTCCGGAAACCTGGCTTTAATTACAGCCTAACACAGGATTTAAATTAATTTCAAATTTTAATTTAGCCTTTATTCAACTCAATTATTCAGTCTCATGGCCCACAAAGCTTTAATGGCCATTTTCAACCACCAGAGAAGAACGTAAGCAGAAGATATGCTAACCTCTTCACTGAAATGGTCAATTCAGAATGTGTTATTTATGTATGAAGGGTCAGACTTCTACTTTAAAAGTTAATGACTGTGTTAAAAGTACATTAAAATATTCTTTAAAATAGAAGAAGAAAGTAGTATTCTCTTCAGACTCAGCAGTGCAGTATTGTCCTAAGTCTTCAGCTCCACAACCAACAAGACCCAATTTAATGTTCTCATAATGTTCAACTATACTGTATTTTCACCAACTTCTCCAAAATTAAAAATCTTTCTTTAATCATTTGATATACTAAAATGCTCATTAATCTCACGTAGATTTCCAAATGCTGCTAAATATACTATATGAAGGACTCAGTGTCCACCTTCTACATCACACAACTGGCACAGGTGAAAGACCCCTAAGACTAGTCTAATATTTTTGAGACACTCTATCAACCATTCCTATCTAAAGACATACAGATCCACAAAAATGTAAACGTCCATGGGTGCATACACCAATTTTTACAAACTACATGTTTACTAAAGGAAATTAAGTCATGGGTGAAAGGATTTTATCACCAGCTTCCAATAAGACTTCTCAAAAGATCTCACTGTGAAAAATAACCCAAATGTGAACCCAGAATATTAAGGTGCACCTCTGTAAGAACTGAAAACAGGGATGGGAAGATGGTTTAAGTGGGGAAAGGTGCCGATCATCAAAGCCTGGAAACCTGAGCTCAGTTCCTGGAGCTCAGCTGAACGCAGAAAAGGAAAACTGACTCCAAAGTTGTCCTCTGACCTCCACAGGCATGTCATGTGTACTCACACATACATCAAGCACTTCACACACACACACAATATAATAATAGTAAGAAGAAGAAGAAGAAGAAGAAGAAGAAGAAGAAGAAGAAGAAGAAGAAGAAGAAGAAGAAGAACAGTTTTGTGCTCCATTTTTTCTATCTGTCAAGAGACAAATTTTAGAGGCTGGTCTGTTTCACTGCAATGATATCTTCTACAGGACTCAGTCTCAACTCTTACGTCATGTTTAAAATATATCATTAATTCCAATTCAGAGACTTCTTTTGTACCTTCTAGCAAATCAATCTACTTTAAAATATGTTTACCATTATACTATTATCTTCCTTCTTTTATTCTTAAAATAAAAGACATTTGAGTACATTTTTATTAGTCATGTTTGCTGGCGACCCATGGTGTAAATTCAAGTCAATCAGAAAACACTCAAACACTCTTTAGCAGTCTATGAATATTAGGAAACAGGACACTCTGTTTCTTATTAGGCTGCAGAAAAACTTTTTGCTTCAGGTGAAAAAGAAAAAGTCTCTTCATACAAAAATATCGATTATTTTCTTCAGAGTTAGCTAAAAACTGACTGTGAAAGAAAGGGAAGAGAGGAAAGGAAGAGAAAGTGTGAAAAGAAAAAGGAGGGAAGTTTGCAATGAAGGAAGAGTAGGAGGAAGGAAGGAGAGCAATAAAGAGAGGAAAGAGGTTGGGAAGAGATGGGAGAGAGGAAGGAAGGATGGGAAGGAGTGGGCACAGACCAGGTAGAAAGATGAAGCCAGTGAGGGAAACAGTCTTTGGCCCTCAGGGCTAAAGATCCTATCATCCCTGGGAAAGCACAGAAATCAGAGACAGATGCTAGTCCAGTTAGGTCAACACCAAGCTCCATGAAAGCACCAAATTACACCAACCAAAGGAACAGTCCACCTATAGCTAATCACAATTAACATGACTTTATATAATTAATATTTATGTTATTTACAATTCCTAACCATTTTTAAATACTTATTACAATTTTACTGAATTGATATTCATTTGTTTTCCATTTCCTATTGTTCTCATCATGTTACATGGCATGTTTCAAGTGTGCATGAGAAGCCCAGACATCGTTGTTCGTGTCTTCCCCACCTGCTCTCTGTCTCTCACTGAACCTGGACCTCATCTACTCAGCTGGACTAGGTAGCCAATGAGTTCTGAGTATCTACCCGTCTCTACCACACAGCCCTGGGACTACAGAGGCATGTCACTTCCCAAGTGTTTGTACACGGGTGCCAACGACTCAAATTCAGGTCTTCATACATGCACGGCAGGCACTCTAGAGCTCACACGTGCTAGGACACGAATTCTTCCTCTTCTAACTTCCCTTTAAGGCAAGGTCGAAATTGCCTAGATTGCCTTAGCCTTGCTCTAAAGCCCAGGCAAACCTTGACCTTTAAGATCCACCTACAGGAGCCACCACATTCAGATCTCATCTCTCTCCTTCCTTAAGATCAATGTCTGCACAAAGTACTAAGGCAAAGGAAGCACTCTAAGGCTTTTGAGAAGCATTACCAAACGTGACCCAGAAAGAGGTCAGCCATTTATAATCCTACAAATTTCACTATAATCTCAATAGTACAACATATTACATAATTCTTTTCATTCACTTAGATCCATCTGTAATTTAGTTCAAAATAACTGTCACTGTGTTTTATGTCCCATTTTCCCCACAGCTCTTTAGCCAGTATAAGATGCTTCATCTTAAAATACAAAAAAAGAAAGAAACAAACAAATGAAAAAAGTCACTAGGAGGGGCCTTCACCAATGCCTTTAAATCTCAATCAGAAAAAGAAATCTATGACTCCTATTAACCCTGTCCCTTACTAAACTTATACCACAGAAATTAAGAGTACAAGACCTAGACTAGAGAAGTCAGACCACCTGGTTCAAATCTTGGCTCTTTGTATCTTCAAGCATACTGTATTGCTGCTTAAACACTTGACTTCTTCATTTAAAATAGAGAAGTCATGAAGATTCATTGAGCTGATGTTCAGTAAGTGGTTCTTAGAGAAGTTTAGAAGGGTAAATTAAACCAAAACAATAAAACTTCATGAACTGTTCTCAACAACAGCCTTCAGGCTACACTTTTTCAATCTGTTTATTGTGCATCAAAGTGTGAGAAGGAGAGCGAGCATGCCAGTCTTTGTGGAAGTCACAAGACAACATTTTGGAGGTGGCTCTCACCACCTGCCTGCTAAGGAAGTGGCTCTCTTGCTTCTGTTGATGAAGTGTTACTCCACGCTAGCTGGCTTGCAAGCATCTGGCCAAACCAGATAGGCATCCTAGCACAGGAATACAGCCCTGTATTAGGCCTTTTTAAGTGGGTTCCAGGGATCAAACTCAGGTTGTTAGGCTTATACGGCAAGCACTTTTATCCACTGAGCCATCTCCCTAGTCCTATCGGAGTTACTAACTCACAACAAAACACTAGCACTCACATATCTAATTGTTCCAGTTTTTGTTTACCTACACTGTAGAGGGCAGTGGGAGTATACAGTAGTGACAACCAGCATTTAACAAGTGAACCCACCAGTCGTATAATTCCCTGATGGTCAGCCCCATCTGGCAAAGTCATGGAGTTTACTGACTGTAAATGACCAGTTGCTCCTGCCTGTAATTTCTCTCATGTGTCACTTCATTTCTTCCCTAAGAACTTGATTTCTTCCCTAAGAACTGATATGGGTGTTTTCATATTGCTTGTTAAAGGAGTAAGTCACATAACAAAACAATCCCACGTGAATTTGGAATTATGATTAATAAAAGGGTTTTTTATTTAAAGGGAAAAAACTTACAGATCACCGTCCTAGACAACAGCCTCCTGCAGGATCAGGAAAAGTGTCTGATAGCCAGAAGTGGAATCCGAAGCAAGCAAGAGAGAGCGAGAGGGCTGCCGCTGCTTATTTTTAAAGCGAAAGATACCACACCCCAGTGGGCTGGTATCTCAAAGGCTCTTGGCTGAAGGAGCAAAAGTAGCTCCCGCAGCAGCCTGTGTTTATCTCACGTATATATCCCATTATTAGGACACACGGATAGCTGTGGAAGGTCAAAGGTGCTTTTTTGCTTAAGTTAATATTTATGAATACAATTTTGTAGGTGTTGTTTTTACTGATTCAAAGTCCAGAACAGAAGAAACTAGATTATACATAATGCTCTCAGTAACTGACTTTTGCACGTAGTCCCAGTGTCAGGCTCCAGGCTCAGTCAATTGTTTACCGTCTGAGAACCCTCACCAGCTTAAGGACTATGTCTAAGACCACTGGCCTTGCTCTCTGGCCAGTCATTATGACACTCCCTAGTCTAAGGGAAACTACATGACTTATCCTGTGTCATGAGAAGGGTCAGGCCCTGAGAGCGTAGCATGTTCATTGTCCAGATTGCGATTGGAAAAAAGAACTGGACAGAGAAAAAATGAAGTGGAGGGCAGAACTGTAAGTAGTAGAGACTATAGTGGGCTAATTAGGAACTGTAAAAATCTATGTAGCAATGTGGAGACGGAGGGAATCTCAGAAAAGATTTTTTAAGTTAAAGTAAAGAGAAAGTTATCATCAGAAAGTATCTGTGTTTCATTATTTTTCCCTCATAGAAAAAGTCTAGCCTTCAGATAGATAAGAACTTTTTCCTAACCCTTGCTACTTTGAGGTCTTCTTTTTCACTGCCCTGGAGCGGATCGCAGAGCTGGCCTTCCATAGTCCAGTTAGCAAGCTTTGTTATTAAACAGTAGAAAAGCAAAGAAATGGGCCACACCTACCTGGCAGTTCTACCAGCTCTGTGAATATATGTATTAGCATCCTCTGGACAATCAAACTGAAGAACCCAATTCACAGCTGGAAAATCTACACAAAAGAAATAACAAAGGGGAGAAAAACAATCAATATCTAGCCTGCTGTACTACTTATGTTGCAGTATCGTGTGCCAAGACTTTCTACCACATCTCACTAACAAAACTTTATTAAAAATAAAATTGATTGCATTAACCAAGAAATTATAAATATTTTTCTACTTTGAAAAAGTGAATTAAAATTGCTTCTTTCTGAAACAGAAGAGACAGTATGACAATAGCGACATACCCTGATGTTCTGGCTGTGAGCCTAGCCTTTAATGACCAAGCCATCCCTCCAGTCCATACCTTGATGTTTAATAACCTAAAAGTATCACTCTTCTTAGGGTCCCAGTAAACTGGTTTCTGGGTCTGAGGAGATGGTTCAGTTTGGTAAAGTGCCTGTCACACAGCATAAGGATCTTAGTTTGGATTATCGGCACTCATTGAAAAAAAAATTTGAAGTCAGGTACAGAAGCACTTTCCTCTTAACTCCAGCACTGGGGAGGCAGGGATAAGAAGATATTTGGGGCTTGCTGGCTATTTTAGCAAATTCTGTGAACTCCAAATTCAGTGAGATACTACAAACCAAAAAACAAGGTAGAAAGCACAGAAGACAACAGACATCGCCTCTATTCTCCATACACTTTGCACACACATGAACATATACATAGACACACAGACATCTAAAAATAATAATACTTTATTTTTTCTGCTAGTCCTAACTCCAAATAAACTTGTAAGCAATTATACACCCTATATTTCTGAATACTACAATATTCAATACTGAAAATATTCATTTTCAAAGAAGCCCGCTCTCAATTTCACAGAACTAACTCTAATCACTTATAGGGTTTGCTGCAAGGATTTCTAAAGATGATAAGTAAAATCATTTTTGCCTGACCTTTTTTTTGGGGGGGGGGCAGTTTGAGACAGAATTTCTCTGTGTAGCCCTGGCTGTCATGGAACTCACTTTGTAGACAAGACTGGCCTCGAACTCACAGAGATAAGTCTGCCTCTGCCTCCCAAGACTGGGATTAAAGGCATGTTCTACCACCACCTGGCATAATAAGTAAATAATTATTAATTTAAAAAAAAGAAAGAATCACTGTAAGAAGGCCAAGATGACAAAGAGAATCAGTTAAAACAGATTTTCAGTCCCAGCACTCGGGATTCCTGTGACTCTGAGGCCAATCTAGTCTACAAAGCTAGTTCAAGACCAGTTACATCTACACAGTGAAACCTTATCTCAAGAGAAAGTAACTGCTAAAATAGGGCACCACACTTCCGTACTGTTGATGTACGTTTAGGATGAATTACACAGCCAGAGTAACTGAAGGACTCAGGCTGCTAGCTCTCTACTCTCCTCCACTTTACCTGCCCCACAAGGCTACAAGGTACAGTCACCACTGTACCTTTCTGAAAGTAAAATTAAAGTATGCTAAATATAGTGATGTTAAAAAATCAAAGTGACTAGTCAAAAAATGGATTTCACTGATTTTTATTGTTAAATTTCAGTTTTCAAACTTGTAAGAATTTTCTTATCTTTAAAATTTAAACCTTTCATCTCTTTTGATGACTACAAGAGGCTCCTCAGGATTATGATTTAATTATAACCAAGCTCACCAGAGATGCAAATACTACACAAAGTTTCACTGTCATTTGTCATGTTCACCAACTTATCAATTTACTAAAGTCTTTCTCACAAGATCTGAGACTCAGATTTCCAGGAAAACACCTTATAAGTAAATATATTTGGTATGACCACAGAAATGGTACTTCAACAAGCTCACTTACCCAACCCTCTGGCTGCAATATCAGTAGCAAACAGCACTGCAGCCCTCTTCCGGACAAATTCGTTGTAGACTTCCATTCTTCTCATCTGCTGCTGCCGACCATGGAGAGCAAGGATAGAGATGCCTGGGCGCAGCCGACAGAACACCCTGTACAGGTACTGAACCTGGGCACAAGCAGAAGAGTAACTCTGATCCTCAGAATGGAGGACAAATTTCACCAACTGTCAGTTTTTTAAAAGAAACGTAATCTAGAATTAAAGTCTTGAAACATTTTTGCTCACACGTTTTCTAAAACAATTTTGATGTCAAAAAGTTAAAAAAAATCTCAATCACTAAAAATAAAATTTGAAAAAAAAATTGCTCTTACATTTTTTTAGTCACCTAAATTCTTTCCAGTTTTGAACAGCTGCAAAAATACAACTTCTACAAAACTGTATTTTAAAATAAATGGTTATCATATACATACCCAGGAGATTCTCACAGTAAAGCTATAGAAAACGTGAGCAACTCTGAACAAAAGAAAGCCTGGTTTCTGTTCCTCCTGCGACTTTCTTCTCCATCTCTGGACCCTCACAGAACTGTAGCTTAGGTTTTAAGCTTGGAAGCCTTTTATTGTTCTTTGTAATTCATAAATTTCTACAACAAAATGTCCTCAAGTTGTATATCTGTTTCTTATACAAACAGGCTGTGCTAACCCTCTCCTCTGACTGAGCACTGAGTTGACCCTCCTTCCTGAAAAGATAAGATGTGATAAATAACTTAAACATAAATAAAATTTTACTATAAATGTATTTCAATGTATAGGTCTAAAGGAGTTAACTATTGTATTAGTTTTATTTCTTTACTATATACTTACTACTAACTGGATACTGTTAGACTGCAGCAGAATTCAATATTATTTTTAACACCTATTAAGAAAATTTGTTCACATAAATTAAAAACAAAATGGATCCAAAGGAAACTTGACTTTTGGAACTACAAAAATGCCAAAATCACAATAAAAGTAGTATATAAATGAACCATGAGCTCTTCTCCTTAAGGGAGAACAAATACACTTCTCTGAATCCCTTACTCCTAGTACAAGGCTGATATTCATCAATTATTTATTAACTAAATAAGGACATAGACAAAATATTCTATAAAGATTTTTTTTCATAAAGATTTTTCAAAGGGACAAATGACCCTAAAAGGATCCTAAAAAGGACTTTCAGGTATAACAATTCATATTTGCCTTTAAAGAACCAGCTATTGACCTAGGGGCAAGGTAAAAGTATGTAGATGACCATAATCAAGGACTTGGGCCTCGGGTCATAAGGAACATTTGGTTCCACACTCTTGGAGGGAAGAAGAACTACTACACTGCAAAAAGCCTCAACTAACCTAGCTGGCTCCACTCCTTCTGCCAATGCTTTTGATGAAGAATACTATGCTCCCAGAATCACTAATACCTAAAGCAGTACTGAAGAGAAGACAGCTAAATGTCTGCCTTCAATGGGTTTCAAGTTTCATTCATGATTTCTGTAAGTTGTTTCTTATACTTTGTTCTTTTGGCTTTCGGGGGAACCCACCACCCAGCTCCCAAATAAATATCACGGAGTCTTAATCTTACTTACAAATGCCTAGACTTAGCTTGGCTTGTTTCTTGGCAGTTTTCCTTAACTTAAATTATTCCAACTACCTTTTGTCTCTCGACTTTGTTCCTTTTCTTGCCTCTGTATATCTTACTTTCACTCTTACCCTGTGGCTGGCTGGGCGGCTGGGCAGCTGGTCCCTGACGTCCTCCTCCCCTTGTTCTCTCATTACTCCTTCTCTTCCAGAGTTCTCCTCCTATTTCTTCTCTCTGCCTGCCAGCCCCACCTATCCTTTGTCCTGCCTCACTGGTGGCCATTTAGCTCTTTATTAGACCATCAATGTTTTAGACATGCAAAGAATCACAGCTTCACAAAGTTAAACAAATGAAGCATAAACAAAAGTAACACACCTTAAAATAATATTCTACAACAGATTTCCTTTCCAACAAAAATACAGGATTATCAGTCTTTACAGATCTGTTTCCTAGCATTGCATAGCACACTGAGTAATGATTTGTCTAACTGAAATATGACAGCTCAAAGACAGTGATCCAACACAATCACATTCAAAAGGAAAAAGTCAGGATACCTCTTTGCAACTGGAGAAAAACACAATACTCTTCTTTTTTAGGTGGCTTCTCAAAAAGGAGAACAGCACACTGATTTTTTGTTGCAGCTCACAAACTATATAGTTCTGTTCCAGTGTAGCAGGGGTGCTTGTAGAATCAAGAAAAACAAATTATTTTAACAATGTCATATTGCTGCTTTGAAATCAACACTAAAAAAAGAAATTCACCAGTTTCTATCACACAAACATTTTTTTCTCTGTCGTCACCAAGGCTACACAGAGAGTCCCCCAGAGGCTGTGTGAAAAGATACACAGCAGCACAAGTGTCAACCACAGGAAGAAGGGAAAGACCACTGTCTGCGAGAAGCAGTTTACGAGACTTTGCTGGGCTGATGGCTAATGTCAACATCTTTTATTGGGTTAGGGATTAAAGAAATATAAGCATTCATCTAAGCAATTCAGACTTAACACCTGCATATTTCACGGTAAATCCGGCAAAGAATATATTAACATTGAAGTCACAATAGTGATCATGTATGCCGAGGCATTTACGGGCACACAACATTAAAATGGGTTAGTACACAAAAAAAAAAATGAAGAAATTCCTAGTAAATGGTTAATCATTGGTAGATAATAAGTACATATGTAGCAGGTATAAGGCTGTATTGTAGACATGAGAGTTGGATGGGGGCTTATTAGGAAACAGAGGTTCAATGGGGGGAGGGCACAAGAGATCAATGGAAAAGTAGTGACTGTATATGTATATACATGTATACATGTGAAATTTTTAAGGAATGTATTATAAACGTCTCAATTTGTTACATGTTTAAAAATTCATAATAATGTCTGAAAAGTCTCAATAAAATACTGGCAAACCGAATCCAAGAACACATCCAAGAAATTATACATTATGATCAAGTAGGCTTCATCCCAGAGAGGCAGGGCTGGTTCAACATACGAAAATCTATCAATGTAATCCATCATATAAATAAATTGAAGGAAAAAAATCATATGATCATTTCATTAGATGCTGAAAAAGCATTTGACAAAATTCAACACCCCTTTACGATAAAGGTCTTGGAGAGATTAGGGATACAAGGTTCATTCCTAAATATAATAAAAGCAATATACAGCAAGCCAACAGCTAACATTAAATTAAATGGAGAGAAACTCAAAGCCATTCCACTAAAATCAGGAACAAGACAAGGCTGTCCACTTTCTCCACACCTCTTCAATATAGTGCTTGAAGTTCTAGCAATAGCAATAAGACAGCATAAGGAGATCAAGGGGATTCGAATTGGAAGAAGTCAAACTTTCATTATTTGCAGATGATATGATAGTGTACATAAGTGACCCCAAAAACTCTACCAAAAAACTCCTACACTGATAAACACCTTTAGTAATGTGACAGGATACAAGATCAACTCCAAAAAATCAGTTGCCCTCCTATACACAAAGAACAAAGAAGCAGAGAGGAAAATCAGAGAAACATCACCTTTCATGATAGCCACAAATAGCAAAAAGTATCTTGGGGTAACTATAACCAAGGAAGTGAAAGATCCATTTGACAAGAACTTTAAGTCTCTGAAGAAAGAAATTGAGGAGGATACCAGAAAATGGAAAGATCTCCCTTTCTCTTGGATTGGGACAATCAACATAATAAAAACGGCAATTCTACCAAACGCAATCTATAAATTCAATGCAATCCCCATCAAAATCCCAACAAAATTATTCACAGACCTTGAGAGAACAATAATCAACTTTATATGAAAAAATAAAAAACCCAGGATAGCCAAAACAATTCTATACAATAAAAGTACTTCCGGAGGCTAAATTACCATCCCTGACTTCAAACTCTATTACAGAGCTACAGTAATGAAAACAGCTTGGTACTGGCACAAAAACAGAGATGTTGACCCGAATCGAAGACCCGGATATTAACCTACAAACCTATGAACACCTGATTTTCGACAACGAAGCTAAAATTATACAATGGAAGGAGGAAAGCATCTTCAACAAATGGTGCTGGCATAACTGGATGTCAACCTGTAGAAGAATGAAAATAGATCCATATCTATCACCATGCACAAAACTCAAGTTCAAATGGATTGAAGACATCAATATTAGTCTGACCACACTGAACCTGATAGAAGAGAAAGTGGGAAGTAGTCTACAACACATGGGCACAGGAGACCACTTCCCACATAGAACCCCAGTAGCACAGACAATAAGAACAACAATAAATAAATAAGACCTCCTGAAACTGAGAAGCTTCTGTAATACAAAGGACACTGTCATTAAGATAAAAAGGCTACCTACTGAATGCAAGAAGATCTTCACCAAACCCGCATCAGACAAAGGTCTGATCTCCAAAATATATAAAGAACTCAAGAAACTGTGGAATGACCTCTGGAATTCATCGTTAAGTGAAGAAACAAGTAACAGAATAAGATAGTACTCCGGTACTGTGAGACGGGAAACAATCCACAAACAAAGTCAAATACTTTAAGACAGCAAAAGAAATGATAAAATAGTATTGAAATTTAAATTTTCTAATTCATGATAAACTCTTATATTAAGAGAAGGAAAAGAAAAGCCCAAGGATGTGAGAAAATATTTGCAAACGAAACATGCAATTAAAAAATGTTCTTCATAAAACAAAGAATGCTTATGAAAACACAAATCAATTTAGGAGAAAAATAAATAAATCTCTCAACAGTCACCTGCCCAAAGGCAATGTCAGATCACAAAAGAACATAAATTGTTCCGCAACCAATAAGCATATAAGATGCCTCTTACTTATCACTTATGAGGAAAATTCAAATTTAAAACAAGACACCACTAAACACTCCACTACATACTTACAAGCCTCCAAGATCAGATTTTGAAAATGATATAGCCACTTTTGAAGACAGTTTTCTTCCCAAACCATTCTTGTCATCTCTTTGGCATTTACCCAAAAGAACTGAAAATTCAGTCCACACAAAAAACCTGCAACCAGACATCTAACAATTTTATTCCCAACCACCACAACTTAGAAGCAATCTAGATGCTCTATAAATAAGTGAGTGGATAAAATGTTACACTAAGATAATAAAGTCATTTCAGTAGAAAAAAGATGTCAGGACTGGGGTATAGCGCAGTGGAAGAATACTTGCAGGCTTACACAAGGCCCTCGGTTCAGCTCTCAGCACTACAAATTTTAAAGCCTTCAGACACCACCGATAAAGCCCAACTGGCCTACTGAACAATACATGTTTCCTAAAGCTACCTTGTCAAGGAAAAAATAATCTTGCTTACTTAGAACTAAAATAATAAATATTTCATAAGAGATACCTCAGGGCTGGGAAATGTTCAATGGCTAAAATTCATATTCAAGTATATGCATGAGAACCTGAATTCAAATCACCAGAACCCACATAAGCAGAAGAATATCTATAACCAAAGTACTCCAACCACAAGATGGAAAGCTGGGGGTGGGGGGAGAACAAGGGAAGGGGCAGGGGAAAGTGGATGGAGGAGAACATGAGGGAACAACATGATGGTCGAGATGGGGGAAGGACAGAAAGAGCAAGGAAAGAGTTATCTTGACTGTGGGAGCCATTATGGGGCTACTGTGAAACCTGGCACCAGGGAAATTCCCAAGAAACCACAAGGATGACCCCAGCTAAGACTACAATCAACAGTGGAGATGTCTAAACTGGCCTGCCCCTGTAATCAGACTGATAACTACCTTAATTGTCATCATAAAATCTTCATCCAACAACTGATGGAAGCAGATGCAGAGATCCACAGCTAAATATTGGGCCAAGCTTCTGGAGACCAGTTGAAGATGATCAAAGAGGTTAAGACCATGATGGAAATAGCCACAGAAACGGCTGACCTGAGCTAGTAGGAGCTCCCTGAATCCAAACTAATAGTGGGGGAACCTACATAGAACCAAACTAGGCCCTCTGAATGTGGGTGACAGTTGTGTGGCTTAGGCAGTCTGCAGGGCCACGGGCAGTGGGACCACGATTTATCCCTAGTGTTTGACCTGGCTCTTGGGGGCCCTTTCTTTTTGGAGAGATACCTTGCTCAGCCTAAATATAGGAGGGAAAGCCTTGGTCCTACCTCAAAGTGATGTGCCAGACTTTGTTGACTCCCCATGGGAAGCCCTACCCTCTCTGAGGAGTGGATGGGGGGAGTGTGGTGAGGGAAGGTAGGGGGAGGGGGAAGAGGGTAGGGAATGGGAACTGGGAAAGGTATATAAAATGAGAAAAGATCATTTTTTTAAAATTAATTAAAATAAAAAATATTAAAAAAAAAAAACATGATCCTTTAAACCTTATTGTAAATTACACTCCATAAGCAATGTGACCTAGAAAGCCACAGATCTATATAACCAGTCTACTGAAAGTAAGATATAGCTCTCCCTTTGGAAGCCCATATTCCTGTCTGAGTATTCCTTATGATCACACTGGTTGCCTCCCTATTAACTCATGTGCTTAGGAACGACATTAAAAATATTTTTTAAAAAACCCTACATCGTGCCGACTTATCCTGACATTCCTTTCAGCAATTCCCAAATGGAGGTTCCTAATAGGAAAGGCAACTCTTCTGACTGCTGCCAGTGACCGTGAGGAGTTAAGTCTCTGTCCCCGCCACCTACGCCACCTCAGAAAAGACCACGTGACCTCAGTTAAAAAATTCCTTAGCAAATCTTTGAAGACAGCAACTTCAAAAATCACCAAAATCCTATACAAAGACACTGAAGTGCTGTGCTCCTATAAGACGCCCACATACACACTTGCCTTACCTTTCTGGGGTGATCTTTCTCTTAACCTCATACTGAAAATCTGTATTATATTACTATCTCTTTTAATAAATGCATAGTATCTAGTACTGAAATTATTTTCTGCATCGAAGTCAAGAATTCTGGGTGTGCCTAAGTGCACATCTCTAATAAACCCAGATCACTACCAACAACAGTGTGGAGCTGTGACCCACGTCCACCTCTGCTGACAACTTCATTCAGCGCTGTCGGAATCCCGCACGCGACAGAGGAAATCTTACCTCATGGGCAGCCAGAAAGCAAAAGGAATGGGAAAAGAACTTTAGGGTTTCCATATATGCTTCAATATCAAGCCTTTAACGACTTCAAACTACACTGTAGCCTAAAAGTTCCCCAAACTAATACTACTGGCTAGTGATCGAGCCTTCAACATATGAGCCTCTGGGAACATTCCATATCTAAACAACCAGTCCTAACAAAAACTATATACTTAGGGTGACAAGATTCCACAAGGTAACTACATCAATACAGCAAAGGTCCAACTCTCTTAGCAAATACTGGTAACAGAAGAGACTATGTGGCAGAAGGGAGCATACGGAAACTCAGTACTTTCCTTTCAAGCTTGCTGTAATTCTGTAACCGCCTAAAGGATCCCTTCAAACAGATAGGGATGTAGCTCACCAGGCATAGTGCTTACCTAGCATACCTGAGGCCTTAAATTCCATACCCAGTGTAGAACAAAATCCTGTATGGTGGAACAGGCATGTACTCCCAACATACAAGGGGCAGAGCCTAGAGTGAGTATGAGGTCAGTCTCGGATACATGAGGTCCTGTCTCAAACAAACAGAAGTATTTAAAAAAGTAAACTGGCCATAACCACAAAGGAATGTGTTAACAGAGCAAAATAAAAGGAAATAATCTAATATTCAAAAACATAGAAACTATTTCAAAGTACTTATTTACAATGCCAAACAAAAAAGAAAGGCAATGGAACCTCAGACTTATCTAAGGCATCACAGTGCTGCTAGTGTCGGTAATGCCCTCAAACTATTGCAGGCGTGATGACTAGTAACAACCACAGGTCTGCAGAAACGAAGGGATGTGGTACAAAGAACATACTTTTCAAAAATAAAGCTGAGTTAGCCCCCAACCCTAAACTCAATTTCTAAGTATCAGTAAGAAGCAATGCATTGACTCTTGAAAAGCTTGTCTGCTGAAAAACCTCTAACAAAGTCCATCCTACCAGCACTTAGATCATGATATTTAAATTACATATCCTTTTCAAAAGATTTTATGAGAGCCGGAAACATGTACAATGAACCTAACACCAGAAAACCATGAGCCAAGGACCGAGGGCAGACATGGCTCACTGGCTCAGGAAACAGCCTGGGTATCACATTCTCAGACAAGTACAGGACAACTCCAGAAAAAAATATTAAATAAAATAATTTCTGTTGCATGAAAGACATAAATCTATATACTAAAGATCATTAATCAAAGTTATCATTAATCATCAAATCTGAGTCTTAGTATAAAGAAAAAAAACTGGTCACAGTATCAAGTAAGCTACCAACTCAACCTCAATGCTGATAAAGAGAATAAAGCACATACCCATTAGTCTCCCTTTCCTCTAAGAACCGTTCCTTAGCCTAACATGGTTTACAGGACAGCTGGGGAAAGAAAATATTCCAGTCAAATGATACAGTATAATGTTGCAAATCCTAATGAAATAATGGAGCAAGGCAGTAATCATCAGTTGCTAAAATTATAAAGTTTTAAAGGTATTGGTTCCTACCATAAAGTAGCTGCCTGTATGAGCTTAACCTTTGACCCAGCACATTAGCTAGATTTAACACAAAACAAAAACTTTTTTCAAAAGACTGACGGCACCTGAAAAGCAACCAAGGCAGCCAAGACTTGATTTACTGAGGAAAAAACAGATATGAGGCAGGCCACATAGGAACTTCATTTTCCACCCAAAGCATTTGCTTCCAAGACAAGAAACATACAAAGCCCCAAGATCAACATTTTAGCCCCAAGATCTCCAAAGAAGAAAAACTATACCTAAACTTTTCAATTTGCCCTAAAGGGTAAGCCAGTTCCTAAGCTGAGTGACAGGAAAAGGTGTGACAATGACCGCAGACAGCTTCCGTAGGAATCCACAGGAATGAGCAGAGGCAAAAGCAGTCTCACATCGCAGCCGAGAGCGTGCCACCTAGGCTGGCAGTGCAGCTCAGTACTACGCCACCTGCCTAGTGTGCACAAGGTGGGAAGGGTGACAGAGTAAAAGGATAGTGAAATATTAACTAAGAAAAGAAAGCTTGGATGACCCAAATAGCTAGTACTAAAGTAGATATTAAGGTCAATATTTAGTAATGATGATACTTTTTTAAGGATTAATGTCACCAATGGTAATAAGAAATGGAATACTGCAATACTAACTCTGTGTGTACACAATAGCTCAACAACATTATCTAAAATCTGAAATCTTCCCTGCTTCTCCACATAATTTCACCCACAGTCACTGAGAAAGATGACAAATTTACACGGCACGGACACCGCTATTTCCCTGAAAACCACTGTAAGCGGCATTTATCCATCTGTAGTAATATAAAAGAAACACCAGTGAACTTGTTATAAACACACTCTGCTGTTCATCTTTAAGAAAACCTAAACTTAATTTTTGGGTCCTTCACAAGATTTGAGATCACCTACATACAATGGTTCTTAGAGTTTAGGTCTAGGTCTGGGCTTGAGACTAAAGACTGAATCTAGAGTCTCGTGAATGTTAGGAACAAACTTAACCACTGACTTATATGCTGTGCCTCTTTTACTTTTTATTTTACGGTAGAGATTCACTAAGTGACTATGGTAGGACTTCAATTTATGATTCTCCTGCCTCAGCCTCCCAAATAACTAGAGTTACAGAGCTGCACCAGTAGCCCGGGCAAGACAGTCATATTTATCTTTCTTAGACTATTAATCACAGTGAAGCTATTAAAGGAGAAAGTCCGTACAAACACGACACAAAAGCCCACCAGCACCTGCTTCCTTCAGTGCTTCAGAATTTTGGATCACAGTCCTAGAGTCATTACTGCAAAGGCACAGCTGGGTGAGTGGTATGCCCACACAGCTGCCTTCTAAATTTATTTGAAAGCCACAGCTTTACAAATGCTGGGCTTCACAAACTATGCTTCAAAACTCATTTGCTATTTGAAATGAGAAGTATTTGCATTCAAATCTTTCTAGAATCTTATGATCTATAGATAACCACCTCTGCTATCAACAAGAGACGTGAGTAATCAGTCATCTCACCAACTCACACTAACCTAGACACCGTCTACATTGTTTGTCCTGACAAAAATAATAAGATACTTCAAACACAAGTCAAAAGAAAAGTCTCAAGAGTAAGCCAAGGAAAAGCTATCCAACTAGTACGTCCTGCTACCCCATTCCCATGTCCGTGTAGCCACAGCTAGCAGAACTCATATCCTCCAAAATGGATCCATTATAATCACCTGAAATCATGGAGTCCAGGTTGTTCTTTTTTGGGGGGTAGGGTTGGAGGGGTTCAAGACAGGGTTTCTTTGTGTAGCCCTGGCTGTCCTGTAACTTGCTCTGTAGACCAGTCTAGCCTCGAACTCACAAAGATCTGCCTGCCTCTGCCTCCTAAGTGCTGGGATAAAAGGCATGAGTTACCATCCCCCAGTTTATGTTTTTCTTTAACCTTAGGCATTTGGTCAACAAAATAAAAGTGGGTATATATTTATATTTAAGAACTGTATTTTAAAAACTTTCAATCAAAATTAGAGAGAGTTCTGTAGGAAGTTAAGACCTACCAGGCGAAAAGGAGCCAACCTGGAGTCTGCTTGGCGCTGTCAGAGGTCCTGATCATGCCTAGCCAATGAGGAGGGACCAAGGGATGCTGCCTGAGGGCCTAGCAACAAGCACTGTCAGAAGTCCTGATTGTGTCAGGACAACCAGTGAGGGACAGTGAGGGACAAGATGTCAACTGTCAATGGATCAAAATGCCTGGGTGCTGGGAGAGTATATAAGTTTTTCCCCATTATTAAATAAACGAGTCTTCTGTATGCCTTCTACATGACTCTCAGTGTCTAAGATGTTAACACTGTGCCTTCTCATCCCCTCCCACAAGGAAGACATTAGGGCCCAGCAAGAGTTCTTTTTCCAAACTTCTTTCTTTAGAGTGACATTTCTCCATGGGGGGGGGGGGGGGGAATGAAACTTTTAAGATGAAACAAAAGCAAACTTCAATACAAATCAGTATCTTTGAAGTATCTAACTTATTGCCATAGTAAAATGCATCTTCAGGCCAGGCAGTGGTAGCACACACCTTTAATCCTAGCACTTGGGAGGCAAAGACAAGCAGATTTCTGTGAGTTCAAGACCAGCCCACAAGAGCTAGTTCCAGGGCAGGCACCAAAGTCACAGAGAAACCCTATCTCAAAAAAACCAAAAAAAAAAGCATCTTCAGGATGTTCACTTTCTATGATGACTCGTATCAGGTATTAAATATAATTTAAAACAAAATCCAACTATTATTACTCCACAAACATACATACTCTTTACTGTCACATAAACATATATACTAAAGTCTACATGTATTAAGTCAAAGATAAAAACAACAGTGGCTAGAACAATCCCAAACAAAAACCATTTTAGTAAATATTAGTATATTTGATATGTTCTATAATGCTTTACTACTGTAGTGTGACTTTGAACTCAATTTTAATAGATTTAGCACACTGTATCCATCTCACTACAGTCACAAAGTCCATAGAAACATTAAGGGTTCTGAGAAATTCTGTCAAGAACAATGTTTGACTTTAACTCAGTATCTGCTATTATCATCCAAAACTTGATCCTCTCTCCCTCATTTATGGTGGGAGTGGTAGCTGGTAAAAAACCTGCTAACATCATATAAAAAAATGTTTGCTCTCCCGACCACATTTTCAGTAATGCTACATTAAAATATTCTCATAGTTAAATATATGCAGAATTTGAATAATTTTAACAGACATGAGTAGAATGTTCTGTGTAACTAATAACAAGCATATTCCATACAAAATAAAAATTTTAAATATTAATTCTTGAACTAAAAAGATGGTTCAGGGAGGAAAGAGTTCCTACCTGTATTTTGCTTTTTCATGAACCCAAACATACTCAGGGTCTTTCAAACTCAAGCGTGCAAGGTCCTTTACAGATTTGGTCTGTGTGGCTGAGAAAAGTAAAGTCTGGCGTTTCTTGGGAAGATTTTCAATAATAGCATTCATGGTGTCAGCAAAGCCCATGTCCAAGATCCTATCTGCTTCATCAAGAACTGAAAAACAAAGATGCAAGTTGCTCTACAATATTTAAAGACTACATCATGCTAAATGCAATTTAATACACTGCTTGGAATCCTAAAGCAGAAAAACACCTTGGCTAAGCTAAGGATATAGTTCAGTGGTAGTGCAATTGCCTAACAAGTAAAAGGTCCAGGGTTCGAATCCCAGAATTCCAATTCAAAACAAAATAATAATATAGTGGAAAACTGATAAGAGCTAAACAAAGAAACCTAGTATTAAATTTACATAGTACCTTGTTAATCTCACTATATCGATCATAGTTATGTACAAAGGGTAATACAGAAACCCTATCACTGCAGCTTTTCTGTAAGTACAGAAGCACTCAAAATGAAAAGCTACTAAAATGCCAATAAGTAGCATCTCTATGCAAAAAAAAAAGGTTCATTAAAACAAATAATTTGACTTTTTAAGCTTCCAAAATTAGGTATTACTTAAAAGGAAAAGAATAAAAAAAGGAAAAAAGAGGAGGCTGGGGAGGTGGCTGAGTGGACAAGCACTTGCCAGCAAACATAAAGACTAGAATTCAGCTACCCAGCCACAGGAGAAACCAAGTCCCAGCACTTGAGAGATAGGATCCCCAGGCAAGCTGGTCAGCTGCACTTGCCCATCTGGTGAACTCTGAATTCACCAGAAGACCCTGACTCGGTAAGTAAAGTGGAAAGCAATAGAGAAAGACATCAGACATCAACCTCTGGACTCCATACACACCCACCCAGGTGTGAACACACGCATGCACATGTGCCAGAAAGACAAAGAAAAACATTGCCAAGTGACCATACTCAAGTACTGAGTTAAATCCATGGAGTCCATTCACTTTTCTCTTTCATTAATAAAGGAAAGAGATCAACCTTGTACTCTCTCAGCTTAAGAACCCAAACATCAAAATAAAAAGATTGTTTTCATCATGTTATCAATAAGACAGTTCCACTATTATACCTCAGGAGGGCTTTCTTGGCAAAGAGCTGGCTTTTAGGGGGTTTTGGTTTGGGGGAGTCTGGGAGTTTTTGTGGGGGGAATGATGCTTTGTTTTTTATGAGAAATCATTAGGCCCACCTAACATCTGAAGATTGGTGGCGTGGAAACATATTGTTTCATCCATGTGCTGGAGAAGTCGGCCTGGTGTGCAAACAAGAATGTTTATGTTGTTGATCCTCTCAGCTTCATGCTTCAAATCCTGCAAAGAGTTGTTTCCTTGATTACACACAGACGCCTCACAGCAGCCTGTCCACAACTATAAAAGCCACTTGGATGTGGAATTCCATCAGAGCAGTTTAGATTCTTAGAAACAAATACCACTTCTCCCTTCCAGTTCTGTAGCACACCCACGTTTGCAAATTAAATCAAAGTCCTCAGGGAAGACCCAAGAAGTTCAGAGCTCTTCTAGACCCTTCACTATATCCAGGATTCTGAGCCTAAGAAAAACTAACAAATGACTGCGCCAAGACTTGATTTCCTGTTAAGACAGTAAAACTGTCTTAACAACTGGAACACTCGCATTCTTTAAGTCAGGACTAGAGGCACTGAACAGGCTCTCCCATACAGCCCCCACAACCTACAGATGGGGAGCTAAGCAAGCATCAGTTTACAGTTTGCCTTGAGACAAGAACCATCAGACGCTAATAAATGTTAAAGACAAACAAGTAGCAGGTACAGGAATAAGATGTGTGACGCTGCATTTCCGTGTTTGTACACATTTGCACAGAAATTCAGAACTACTGCTCACGGTTCAGAGGTGACCATAGCAGATATAACCATCTCAGATGTACTAAAAAGTCAACCAAAGTTGACCAGGCTTTTCCATGATGTAGATAAATATTCCTCAAAGCAATCTATCTCCCTTTCATGTTGTACTGACACAGCAAGTTTTTAACTACTCTGCCCCTTATACTTCCTATTAAAAGGTACTATGTCCACATACTGTTATGGCCTCTTTCTCAAAGCACACAAACAAATAGGTTTCTCAAGTTAACCTGTTCATCTGTCTGAGAACTTCATCAACTCAGATGCTGACAAGAACAGACTTTCTGGACCTAGGTGCTGGGTGACAGGGATCACCCTGAGGCCCCACCTAGAAAGCCAATCCTTTTAGATGAGTGAGCCTCCATCTCCTTTTTCCCTGTCATCTGCATAGTGCTATTGAAGGAAGGGACAGATAAAGACAAACCTTTCCACCAATGATGAGACCAGCTGAAAAGTCATGATTCTTTCCTACTTTGCGTAGAACCTCAAATGTCTGATAGGCCAGTTCTCGAGTAGGTGATATTATCAGAACCCCCAAACCATCTGCTGAAGTCCATTGCAGGCGGTATAAGGCTTCCAACACCTTAAAGACAAGAGAAAATTTGTATTCAGTAATCTCTTAGAAAAGTCTGCACTGAGACTCAAATCTCAACCTTTTCCTCTAAACCAAAGACACTATCAAACAAAATGCATTCCTCTTACAAGTTTTACCCAATCCAAGAAAACATCTCCAAGATATTTTCTTTCCAATTAAAGAAGCATTCAACCCTAACTCAAGAAGGAAAGCGAAGCCCTAAGACAACTTATCTGATGTCAGAAAAAAATAAAAAGACCAGCTACTGGAAGGGTATGTGTAGTCCACAGACCACTAAAACTGGTACAAAAAAAAATTATTTTCTAAACAGAAAACACATCATAATCTGTATGGCTCCTATAGTTTTTATAGTGACTGAATTCCTATATGTAGAAAGGCAATGTTATAAAAATAATAACGAACTAGGATTTAAGAGAAAACAAGTTTTAAGGCATTTCAAACAAATCATGACTTTCTTTCTATCAGGGCCAGTTTTTTTCTAGGAACCAAATTAGGAAACCAGCTAAGCAACTGAGATGTAAGTGGATTCCTAAGTAGTTCTACTACCCTACTACTATAAAGGATAGCTACCAATGTTCTAGAAATGTCTCAACAAACCCTCATATCCCGTTGAAGTGAGCTATTGTAGGATACAATCTCCCGAGTTCAACAGCTGCCATCTCAGTCAGAAGAACTGTGAGCAGAGAGTGGGAAGGTCAAGTGAACCCTGACCTGAGATTCTGCTCACCCCTCCTATAATGCACCCCACACTCATTTATATGGCTAGACATGCTAGTGTATACAGAGGCAGTGGGCCAACTGAAGGGAAGCTGTCAGAGCAGCTATGGGGATATCCTAACCCAAGCTGGGATGACACTTTCCAATGGTGCAGTTGCTTTGGAGTTATTAATCCTCTTGAAGTAACCCCTCATTCATGTTCTAGAAGCAAGTCCAATAAACTACTGGTTCCCAAAGTTGGACTTTAGTGGGACCATACTGTGTTTCCTTGGTGGTGTCTGCAAGGCAGGAGTGGTATATCTCCCTGGGGAAAGAAATCTCACAACATGAATATATTTCAGCCTTGTCCTATACAAGTGGCAAATATAAATACCAGTGGCAGGCAACAGTTTTCTCCACCAGGTCTCCTGGGAATTATAACAAATGAAGCAAGCAAAGCACAAAGACAGAGCAGGACCACTCTAAACTGCCACAGTGGGAGCTCCGCCTCCTTCAGAATGCAATGGTTTATAAAAGCAGACTGACTCATCACTGCGATTAGTTACTGAGTGCTTCCATGGGCCCTGTGGTGGGAGCTCAGAGTGAGAGCAGGAAAAGAACGAGAGAGATGTGGCTCCTATCTGGCCAGGAACTCCAACATTAAACAACTGTTTATATAACTGGTTTCCTAGTTATATAGAATGGCATAAAATTATATAATAGAGGCTCTGATCCAAAATAAATGTACTTACTGGAACGAGAAAAGCCAAAGTCTTGCCAGATCCAGTTTTGGCAGCTCCAAGCACATCTTTACCTTGCAAAGCCAACCCTATGGTCTGTTTCTGTATCTCTGTTACCAAGCGGTACTGGGCTTCTTGTAAACCTGGCAGTGTAGAGAGGAGAAGGATACTTAAGAAAATCCTAAAGGATGATGCTACAGGCTAGACTACATGTCTCCATCACAAACAAATGGCTGGAAGTTCTTCTGCTCTGTCCTGATGGAAATCTGGAATGAAGGCCTAGAGGCTCACAGGCTAGACTTTCAAACCCACCGTCTCTGAGACCTAGATCCAGACAACTAGAAGCGTATGGCTCCAAGCTTTCAAGGCTGCAGGAAACGGGCCAGTGAGACGGCTCATCAGGTAAAGTGCTTGCTGTGCAAGCCTGATGAGCTGAGTTCAGTTCCCAGGACCAGAGTGAAAGGCGCGGCTGCCTCCACATTGTCGCCCGACCGTCACTGTGGCACTCGCACCATCCCCCCACACCACACACTCCAGAAATAATAATAAATTAGCTGCTTTGTTTTGTTTTAAGCCAGAGACTAACTGTTCCAGAATTTAAGGCAGAGGCTTATTTGAGGACTTAAGACCATACACAGAATGGTGACAACATGGATGAACCTAGAGTGAATTATATTAAATGAAACAAGCCAGGCACAGAAAGATAGATCCCAGATGACCTTGTATTTATAGACCCTAAGGACAAAAAGAATGCTCATTACCAGAAACTGGGGGAGTGCGGAGCTAGAAAGCTATTACTCAAAGAACACAAAGTTACTCAGGTTGGAATAAGTTCAAGAGATGCCTCATAGGATGGGGAGAGCTCAGTCAGTAGAGTGTTTACTTAGATGGATGAAGCCCAGGGTTTGATCCCTGCATACATGCCTATAAACCAGTAGTTGGGACGTAAAGACAGGAAGATCCGAAGTTCAAGGTCATCCTCAACCACAGAGCAATAGTGATGATAGGGCCAATCTGGGATACATGAGACCTACCTATCTCAAAAACAAAAACTAGATATATTGTACAACATGGTATCACAGTAACTACAGTCAGTTATATGCTTTTTTTTTAATGCTTGAAAATTGCTGAGAGTATATTTAAGTGTTTTTATCATGCAGGAAAAATAAGCACATTAATGTGTTTAATTTATATACATATTTCAAGTCACACTATTACATACCATAAACATACACAATTTTTATCCAAAAAAAAAAAGTATAAATCACTCCACAAGAGAAGCTATCTGCAAGTCAAGGATGGCAAGCCCACCATAGACCCATCTCTCAAAGCCCTGAAAGTATTCCTGCCAGCATCTTACCCCTGGACTTCTAGCCATCAAGTCTAAGAAAATTTCTACTGCTTAAGGCTCTTATTTTGTTATGGCTACCCTAAAACTACTAACGTAAAGGGTAACATATTTTTGTTGCACTCCTATTTAACTAACAGAATCAAGTTTAATTCTAATTTTCCAGAAATTCTTAATCCTTTTTAACTAATCTTCAATCACTCCAGAAAAAAATAAGAAATAAAAATGGTTAGAATTCTATATTTGAGACATGGGGTTGATGGTACATGCCTGGTGGTGCTGAGGTTGAGGATAGCCTGGACTATAAAAGGAGTCAAGGCTATCCTGAACTACAAAATAAAACTCTTTCAAGAAAGAAGACTTTGTGATAAAGAAAAGGCACAGGGTTGAGCTGGGCAGTGGTGGCACACCCCTTTAATCCCAGCACACAGGAGGCAGGCAGATCTCTATGAGTTCGAGGCCAGCCTGGTCTACAAAAGCTAGCTCCAAGACAGGCTCCAAAAGCTACAGAGAAATCTTGTCTCTAAAAACCAAAAGAAAAGGCAAGCAGACTTTGTGATAAAGAAAAGACACAGGGTTGAGCCGGGTGGTAGTGCACACCCTTTAATTCCAGCACTCAAGAGGCAGAGACAGGCAGATCTCTGTGAGTTTGAGGCCAGCCTGGTCTACAGAGTGAGTTCCAGGACAGGCCCCAAAGCTACAGAGAAGAAGCCCTGTCTCAGAAAACAAACAAACAAAGGCACAGGGTTGGAGAGCTGTCTCAATCAGTAAAATGCGAACCTCACAAGCATGAGGACCTGAGTTCTATCCCAGGACCTACGAATAATGCCACACATGGCGGTATGTGCCTTTTAACCTAGACTGGGAGGTGAAAACAGGAAGACTCCTGGGGCTTGGTGGCCAGCCAATCTAGTCTAATGAATGAGCTCCAGGTCAATGAGAAACCCTACCTTAAAAGAGAGAACCATTTCCTTAGGATAATACCCAAGGCCGTCTGTCATCTGGCCTCCACACACAGGTACATAATACAGGAATACACATGAACATACATGTGTATTTTTTTAAAAAATTGAAAAGACATGAATATATCTAACAATCTATCCTAAAATGACAATATATACCTACCTTTCAATGTTTTTTTGGACAAAGGGAAATCTGAAAATCTTGTAATTTCATTTACATTTATCTGGAAAAAAAGATTGTGAAAAAGAAATAATGTCAGATAAGACAAGAAATGCTAGGTGATTCATTAGTTTCATAATGCACGCCCCCCCCTTACCCTACATTGTGCTGCCTTGCTCATCTTTCAAATAATAGAATTGAGGCAAAGTACTGCTCCTAAATAAAAGTTACTTGTTCAATTAACATGAATCCCACGGAGGAAACAACTGGCAGACACTCCTGTAAACAGGGCATACAATGTGCTTCTCCTTCTTCATACTTGTAGCCCCATAAACTAACGCGCTGCTTTCACAGGATGCAGAATATCCAAAGGTGGAGGGAGTAATGTTTAACACCAATTGTCAACTTGAAAGAATATAGAATCACTAGGAAACAAACTTCTAGATATGTCTGTGTTGCAGTTTCTAGATTGGGTTAACAGAAATGGGAAGGCCCAACCTAAACATAGGCAGCACCAGCATTCACCCATCTCCTGACTGTGGACAAAACATCTCACACTCCTGCCAAGACAGACTGAATCCCCTCCAACTAAAAGTCGAAACACACCCTTCCCTCCTTAAGGTGCTTCTTGCCGGGTATTTTGGCTCACAACAATGGGACAAGTAACAAATAGAGGAAAATGGTTCCTAGACCTGGGGCTGCTGCAATGACAAGCTGATGACGTGCTCTATAAGCCTTCACACTTGTTTGGGAGAGGAAGGTAGAAGAGTATGAAACGAAGCTAGAGAAGTCTGGGGTGTGCAAGTGCACCTGAGTAAGATATTCAGACGGCAGTTCAACAGACCAGAATGCCGAGAGAAACGCAGACGGGAGAGGCCCAGTTCGTGAGGTTCAGAGGGATGAAAGGACTGTCCAGAACTGTCCTAGAAACCACTCACGTCATACTCTGCCCAAGAATCTGACTTCATTCTGCCTGTGTCCTGGAAACATGAGAGAATACAAATTCTAAAGCAATGAATGAATTTGCTTTGCAAGGGACTCTCAAGTCAGGACAGCAGTCAGCCTGTCAGTGTCGTGGCTATAGCTACTGCTCTTCCTGGTCTGCAGTGAACACATGCAACAGATGAAGCAGACACAGAGGGAAAATGTACCACTTGACAAGGAGAGACTGAGAGGGAAATTGTACCATTTGACAAGGAGAGAAGGAAATTTGAAGTTTCAGGAAATATGGCTGCGAGTAAACTGTTAGATTGGCACCATTAGGGGAATCCCGTGCTCTGCTTGATAAGGTACCTCAAGAACAGGACTTCCCCACCGAAGTCTCCATCTAAGGAAAATTCCTTTGAAAGGATCGGGCCTAAACTGAGAATGCCACTGAAGAGGTCCCCTAACACCCAGGAAGTGTTTCTGGGGTCGATACAAAGAAGCTGACCCAAGCGGACTCCAGGGCGGCCAGGCTCTATCTCAAGCTGACAGCAGAGCCTGCAGTTTGGCAATGCCATCCACAAGGTGCTAGTTCTACAGGCACAGGCACGAAAGATGCCAGACTAGGAGATCATGGAGGTTTGTGCTAAGGTTCTAGAAGTCACCAAGGTCAGGTGAATGTGTGGCAGGATCAGAGTCTCTGTGAGGAGGCAGTGAGAAGTCACTGTGTGAATGTGTGATGGTGAACCCAAGATGCCAGCCCAAGGGACATCACTGATGAAAGCTCAGTCACAGAACAGCGCCAAGCCAAGAGAGAGGGCATGTGTGCATGCAGGTTGCATGTCCCGCAAAGTCATGTAACACTTTATCAACCCCTACTCTAGAAGATTATATTTAAAGAAATTCTTGAAACCTACAATAGGAGATGATCTTAGATTATACAAAGTAAATCACTCCTCCCTACAGAGACAGTGACGAGTATTCCCACCACTCAGGTCTCAAATTCCCTCTGAACTCTGTGTCCTTCAGAAACAGTGAGCAAATACTTTTCAGGATTTCCACACTGGTTGGTGAAAGAGGGCAGAACAGAACTCTCTTAACCTTTCCACCGCGCTCCCTCCTGACTGCTCCCCAGCCTGATAACACCTGTTTCTCAAAAATGTTAATCCATGGAAGAAAAGGATAAAAATGCTACAGAATGTTCCATTTACTTCAATCAAGAGAGAAAGCAATCTGGCTCCAACCAGCAGGTCAAATTTTGATTTTAAAAAAATTTGTAGAATGCAGCATTTCTATATAGCACGGCCGATCATAACAGTGAAAAACAGTTGCTGAACTAAAACAAATAGCTCCATATCCTCAATAAGCCTCGATCCCTGGTTCTGCATCACTCTCTAACACATGTGCACACACATGCCACCTCCCTCCTCACGATGCCAGCCTCTCCCCTATACCTTCACTGCACACTCTAACTCCCCAGACATCTCCAACGCTCCAGATCCCACACGCATATGTTCCACAAGTTTCACTCACACCCTACTCCTCTCTCTCTCTCTCTCTCTCTCTCTCACACACACACACACACACACACTTCCAATATACAAATGTTCTCACTCACATTGTCCCATAACCTAGGCAATCACAAGCCAAGGATCAGCAGCCTCAAGCTGGAAGAGGAAAGGAAGAGATTCACCCTCAGAGTCTAGCAAAGGTAGTATGGTGGCCTTGCTGACACCCTGATTTTTATTACAATCTGGACTTCAGGGGTATGAAAATATATGCTTTTAAACCAGTGGCCTACGGCAATTAACTAGAAAACTAGCTAAGGAAGATAATGACTGTCAGCCTTAATGGTATACTGTATGTGTAGACATTCCGCACAGGCAGAAATAAGGATGTGAACTCAGAAAAGTTCTGGATAGAGCAAGATAAGGAATCACAGACCCACAAGAGTAAATAGAACAAAGACTACGGCTACATTACCTAAGCAATTCTCATCACAATCCAAAACGAAATCCAAAGACAATCTGTTTTTTATGTTTGTTTGTTTGGTTTTGGCTTTTAGAGACAGAGTTTCTCTGCATAGCCCTGGTTGTCCTGGCAATTGCTCTGTAGACTAGACTGGTCTCAAACTCAGAGATCTGCCTGCCTCTGTCTCCCGAGTGCTGAGATTAAAGGTGTGTGCTACTACAATCACATCACAGACACTCCCTGGTCCCACAGAAAGTTGTTTTTAATGGCTTCTCCTTTAACTGATTATTTCTATGTGACCGACATTGTGAATAACGCTTTCCACACAGTATCTTACTAATTCCTGACAGCTTATAAGGTAGGTGCTATTGCTAAACCTTTTAAAGACAAGAGAGGAGCTAGTGTAAGAAACATAACCAAAGTTACACAGTTGGTGAACAAAATCTCAAATCATCTGAACTCAAAACACAAACTGACTCTTAAATGCTACCTAACAACTCTAAAAAGATTATCTCAGTGTTGATGTTGCTTAAGAAAAGGATAACAAGTAATGACTTTAGTTCCAAGATGGTTCCGCTTTTGTTAAGACCCTATAATAGAAAGGTGGCATTCACGGAGAGGGTAAGTGAGGAAGATGAATGCTGAAAAATATGGGCTTTATTGGAAAGAAAAGGAAGCAACATTCCTAAGGAGCAGAAGCCTGGGGCAGGAAACGATGTCAGCCTGTCAAAGCGTTAACTATGGGACTACTTATGGAGGAACGTTCGCGACAAGGTGGGGGTACCAAGTAACAAACCAGCACAGTCCAGATTCTCTACACTGGCTCTTCTTGAAAAACATGGAGTAAGGAAATAAGACAAGATCAGAGGATTATGCTAAGGGATGCAGCCAAGTGCCCAACTTAAAAGGCAAAATTTTGGAAATAGACACAGGTCTAGGTTCCAACCTCATACCACTAGATGTGAGAAATCAGGACAAGTTCTTAAGCTCTCCAAACTCTACTGGTCTCATCCATAAAATGGAATATTAAGATCCATACCTTAGATAGGGGCAAAGGATATATGTAAAACACATGGAGAGTACTTTTAAAGGTAGACACTATTTCTATTATTTTAAACATTTTCCAAGAACAACAGCATTCTCTTATATCATTTCATATTTTATTTATCTTATTTACTTTATTTCTGAGACAGAGTTTCATGTATCCCTGGCTGACCTCGAACCTGCTATAAAGCTGTGAAAGACCGAACTTCTGATCCCCCTGTCTCCACCTCCCTAGTGCTCAGAACGCGCTCCATTTAGGTGGAACTGGAGACTGAACGTCGACTGGCTTCCTCAACGTCGGGCCAGCACTCCACTGAACAACAAACATTCTCGGCTCTCACTCCACCGGCCATGTTCTTTACACAACTGTCACCACTACTACCACCTATCCTTAGTATCGCTGCGTTTCTATCACTTTTCCCAGAACTGTGGCAAGCAGAGGAGCCAGACCTGGGTAGCGACACCCAACAGACGACCTCCCTGGCCGGGTCCGCCCCTTTCCCGCAACAGCACCTCCCATGTCCACGGCCGCTGCGCCCACCCGCGCTCCCCTGAGCCCGCCTCACCTTCTCGTAATTCTGCATGAGGCGGCTGATCCCCTCACGCTCGACCTGCCATTCCGGCTTCTTCAGCTGCTTCCTCCGCTCCTTCTTCTGGTTCTGCCTGTGGCTGTGTTTTTTCTTCCAGCGATTGAAGCTTCGCACCGGGTCGGGCCGGGTTCCCTGGCCCAGAGAATCAACCGTTTTGCCCATAGTGACGGAGACCAGGACCCACGCCGCCCCCTGACAAGAGACACCTTAAGCCTTAGGTACTAGACGGAAAACGCGAAAACAGCGTGTGCAGAGCCCGCAGGAGCGCATGCGCGAGACCGGGAGCCCGCCCCAGGCCTTTGAAGGGTGGGCGCACTCTAATGACGACAATGAGTGAGCAGACTATGATTGGCGTTTTGGCTTCCGCAGGGCGGAGCGATCTCAAGAAGCGTGCTCTGGGGAACTGGCAAAGCTCGGCGACTGCTACTGGAGCGGGGGTGGGGGAGGCTTCTTAAAACAGCGCATGTGCGCAGTTTATTGCTACTATGGTGATGTCATATTGCCCAAAATTAAGGTACTGTTACCCGTTTACTCTGCATTCAGATGTACCCAGCATTCGAGAGCGCGCTTCCACACGTTATAGACTATGTGGTTTGTAATCTTGATCTTCTTTCTTCATATTTCGACCCAGAGAGTAGAAAGATTTGTCAAAATCTGCTAATTAGTGACTTATTTCCTTCACTACAAAGTACGTATACAATAATATACAAATAAGGAACAAATAAGGACATTTATATCTTTCAGAGTTTTCCCCTCAGCCCTTCATACTTTAACCACAGTAACGAGGGTACCGATACAAACTGACTGAATTTACCTTATAATGCTATTATAAAAACAAAATGGTAGCTTAAAAAATTAGAGAAAATATGTTGAATAAACCCTATTGGTTTCCTTTTTCCTCATTTTTCGATACAGTATTTCTATGTGTACAATCTCTGGCTGCCCTGAACCAACTCGTTCTGTACGCCAGGCTGCACTTGAAATCATAAAGATCCGCATTCTTCAGCCTTCTGAGTGCTGAGATTAAAGGCATGCACCACCACTGCTCTGCTAATTAGTTTCCTTTTTTAAGTGAATTGGTTTTGATGAATTAGATTCCATGACACGTTTACATAGGGCCTCTACAAGCACACGTTGGACTTGGGGTGGAAGGGTCCAGGTTGTGGCAATGGCGATCAGAGAATTAGGTTGGAAGTTTATATGTACCTAAAGTGTTTAGGCCTTTAAGTTCCCCTTTTGACCCCACACATCAACACAAATACCCTAACTCTGCCTTATCAGCAAATTTGGAGCCACTTACTCGAAACAGAGACCAAGGCTATCACCATATTCAGTACACCAGATGTAGGCTCAGTGTTAAAGAAATGTTAAAGTGTGTGTGTGTGTGTGTGTGTGTGTGTGTGTGTAGACTTCAAATTATGACAAGAGAATAACCATAATCCAGCAATTCTGTCTCTGGAAATAAACCCAAAAGAATTGCAAAGCAGAGCTTCAGACATACTAAACTGTCCTCGCTGACAGCAGCCACTCTTCAGTTTCCATCCACAAATTAAATATAAACATGGTACATACATTAAGGGAAATATTATTCACCCTTTAAGAATAAAGGCTGACACACCATACTAAGTAAATTGTCACAAAATGGCACCGTTAACCATTGCATACCTTTATGAGGTACCTGTGTTATTGAAATAATATAGAAGGGAAACAGAGGACCAGGGAGGTGGCTCAGCTGATGAAGACACTTATCACCAGGCTGACTGACTCAGCCCCTAATGGAATCTGATTGAATCTGTCCATAAGAAAAGGCACTGCGGGGAAGAATGAACACATTCGGGAGCATGGGTGTACATGTCTTGAAAATGAGCCACAGAAGATAAGATATACCCCCCTGTGAGCCTGTGCACCTCAAGGGAAACCCCAGTTAGCGCCTCATCATTAGCCATGTATAACGTTTTAGTGGCTCTCAAAGTACATCTAAAAAGTAGATTCCCTTCTTTTTGCTACATGAGATTGGGGAGGTTTTGGAGATACCTGGGGTGGAATTATAGTCTGATAAGGTACAACCAGGAGCCACTAGGGGTGCACAAAGGCATTTACACAGGTCCTTTCCCTGTAACTGACATTTATGGGAGATTCTTAGAACATTGTATGTGGAAAGGGAGAAAGGCTTCAAGCCCCTGCTAATTGTGCTGGAATTCTCAATTCTCAGCTTCAATCAGATTCCAGGTGAAGGCCCCATTTCCTTCTTACACCCTTGTAATTTTCATTCTTTTTTGTCTTAGCTCAGTAAGAAAAAATGTATATTCTATTTTGCCTTCCATTTTTGTTTGGTTTTGCTATGTTTTGTTTTGTTTGGGATAGGTAGACCAAGCTGGCCTTGAACTCACAGAGCTCCAGATGCCTCTCTTGAGTACTAAGGTTAAAGGTGTGCGCCACCACTCCTGACTCCTTCTATTTGTACTTCCATTTGTCTGCATGTTTGACACAGAGTTAAACAGTTAATTCCCATTATACTGTCAATTCTGTGCTGAGCTACGGTCTTCACCTTTTCTTTCTTGGATTCCCTAGCAGATTCTATTATCCCACTTATTGTATTAGTCATGGTTCTCTAAAGGAACAGAATTAATAGTGAAGGAGCAGAATAAACTCCATTTTGAGAAAGAACTCCATTTTAGACAGGGAGTGCCTAACTAAGACGGGATGAGTGCAGCCCAGCAAAGTCATAAACATTCTCAAGAAACTGTGCCAGCCCTGGTCAAAGTGACCCTACCAGGATGTCCAAACAACATCTGCTTGTTTCAAACATCCTTGTAGGTGTCTGATTAACCACTGGTTTGAAATTCTTGTCTGCTGACAGTCACTGTTTTGAAATTCCTCTATACCCCAACCAATGAATTCAAAAGTTGTATACTTTTACCCATTCCTGAAACGCCAAGGCTTGTACCACCCTGCTTGCAGTTTTCCCTTTAAAATTCCCTTACGCTGAAGCCTCAGGGCCATTCTCCCCAATCACTGTGTTGGAGTGTCAGATTATGGTCCTAGTTAGCTATCTTGTAACCAATAAAGCCCATTTGCATGTGCATTTGCATCAGATAGCAGCTCTGTGGTGGTCTTGTTTGGGGGTTCTGTGTGACGTAGGCACAACAACAGAATGAACATATATACTGATATATTTAAAGGGGATTGCTTAGATTGGCCTACAGGTGTGGTCCAAGTAGTCCAACTGTTTTGGAGTTCAAGACCACCAAAGGAAGACCACAGACTATTTATTTATAATTAAAGGATTTCTTGATCACCGCTAGCAGGAAAACAATCTCTGAGCCAACCTTGAGATTGCCACATGAAGAGGGGTGAGGGAAGGATTTTTAAAGGTGAAAACCACAAGAAGAGTTTGAGTATCTACACAATTAAGCCAAGAGCTGTTCTGTTCTGCCACGATTAGGTAGTCAAGGCAACCTCAAAATAATCCTTGAATGTCTGCATAAGCAAATTACAGAACCCAACAGGCAGTTTGTCATATAACAAGTAGATGGTCACGGCTGTACATTTCGAGATGGGGGTCACTGAGTCAGGCCTACTGGGAGCTTATCTTCCAGAGACTGGCATCAGAGACAAATGGCTAATGGGTCCCAAGATGGGTGCCCAGCATAAAACAGAGACTGTTAGAGCCAGGTGGTGGTAGCACACACCATTAATCCCAGCACTTGGGAGGCCGAGACAGGCAGATCTCTGTGAGTTCAAGGCCAGCCTGGACTACAGAGCAAGTTCCAGGACAGGCTTCAAAACTACACAGAAACCCAGTCTCGAAGAACCAAAAGAAAACAAATTTTAAGAAAGGAGACTCCTAGCCTTCACGTAACATTGGCTATCTCACCCTGGAGATGCTGAGTGGCTGATGGTTGCTCAGCCCGAAAGGCTGGATGTCTCAGCAGTCTCAGTCTGGCCCTGAAGGCCTGGAAGTTTCCTGGAGAGAGTTACTGCTCTTCAGTCTCCCCTGGAATTCTGAAGACATTACTGTAACAGCGAAGGACTGACACAGCAACCGGTAGATGAACTTGCCAGCAAAAGGGAGGGCCACAGGAAAGAAGCAAAGCTTCCTACTTCCATGTCCTTTTAGTGGGCTGTCACCCCTAGGACCTCCCACATTCAGGGTGGGTCTTCCTGCGTCAAGTAATCTGAACATAAAATCCCCCACAGGGGTGCCCAACTGGTTGATCCCAGATGCAGTCACGTTGACAACCAAGACTGGCCATCACACTTCATGTTGCTTCATTTCCTACTATTATGGCTTCCTATTTTCCGGTTGTGTTCATTTTAAGCTATTGTCCTGATATCAAATGATAAATTATGTGATAGCAGTATTTTACTCGGGATTTTGTGTGTTTGTTGTTGTTGTCACTGTCGTTTTAAGACAGAGTTTCATTATGTAACACTGGCTAACCTGGAACTCATTGTGTAGACCAAGCTAGCCTGGAACCCAGTGATCCGCCTGCTTCTGTCTCCCAAGTACTCGGATTAAAGGCGTGTGCCGTCATGCTCAGGTTTATCTCAGATTTTTTTAGTTTGTTGCTGTTATTTGTTTGGTTTTGATTTTTAAGATAGGATCTCATGTAGCCCAGGCTAGCCTCATATTTTCTGTGGGACTAAGGCTTGAACTTTTGACCCTCCTACAGACACCTCATATGTAAGGCATATGCCACCACACCCAGCTCTAGCTCAGATTTTGTAAACATTTTTTAAAAACACATATGAACAGTGATGTCCAACTCTATTGTAACTCTTCACTGTGAACCAGTCTGCAAAACTGTTTTAGAAAACAGATAATTAGAATCAAGTTACATTAGCCAAGTTCTCTTACAGTTGTGTGAAATTTTTGTTTTTGTTTTGTTTTGTTTTTCGAGATAGGGTTTCTCTGTGTCCTGTCTGTCTTAGAACTCACTTTGTAGACCAATCTGGCCTTCAACTCACAGATATATCCTGCCCCTGCCTCCCAAGTGCTGGGATTAAAGGTGTGCACCACCATTGCTCTGCCCTCTTGTGTGAAATTTTATATGATGTTTATTGAAGCAAGATTAATAAAAACTCAGATATAGATACTGGAGTTCAACCTGAAGACCAGAAAAGCAAAACAGTCAGCCACTGGTTCTTACCTCAACCTCAGTCCGAAAATGGTGATCTTGTCTCCAGGAAACCTCAGAATGAAGCTGAGCCTGATTGCTGTCTCCTCCTGTTTTGTAATCCTCTCTAGTTCTGGGATCAAGGGCATGCACCACTACT